AAAAAAAAAAAGCAGGGTTGGGCTGTCCTCTCTGTTACTTCCTCCATGTCAGGAGAATACACTTATACCAGATGGCATATGCTAGGTGGCCCCATGAGATTATAATATTGTATGTTTACTGTACCTTTTCTGTGTTTAGATATGATTTGACACACAAATATTAGCGTTTAGGACAATTACATGCTATACAGGTTTGTAGCCTGGAGCAATAGGCTGGCTATACTATATAGCCTAGGTGTGTAGTGGGCTACACCAGGGCTGGGGAGCTTTTTCATGTTGGAAGGCCCGCATAATCTAGCTGAAATTAAATAAGAAGAAACTTCAATTAGATATACTTAACAATACAATATACATTATTTTGTAAAAATCTAATTACTATGTACTTAGTAATTTTAAAAAAATGAAAACCTTATATTAAAGTTACCTAACCATTTAATGACTTTGCTGTGTCTGCTTTTCATGCAATAACTGATTGAAAAGCAAGGAAGCAGTTTTTTGGCATGTTGCAGAAGGCATGAATATTCTACTGTATTTTTGCTTATTTCAATTGGACCTTTTTTAGCATCAATGACTTTAAAATGTCATTTTAATGAGAGCTCAATTAATTCCATTTGTAGTTCTTTAGGTGCTTTGGTGATATCAACTAAATAAGGCTGAAATGCTAATTTGAGTGTGATGTCATCAATCTCAAAGTCAGTGAAACTTGTATTCCCCAATTAATAGGTCTCTAACAGCTGAGTATTCTTCACATGATTTTCATACATTGTCTTGCTCATCAATGACTTTTACTACTTGGGGAAAATGTTCATCTGAAATTTCCTTCTGAAGAAGAAGTGTTTTGGGAAAAAAATAGCTTTTTTCAAAATGCTTGGATTTATTTTTTTGTCACACATCATATATAGACTTAGTTTAATCTTGCAAAGAAATATTCAAGTTGTTTTGATTTGACATGGCATCACACAGAAATGCTGCGTTCCTATAGAATCTTCGTTCAATAATTCACATTGCTGATTCTGTTCCCACAGAGATAAAATTTTGGCTACACCTGTCCCTGTGATGGCCAACTCACTTCAGAATGACAAGGCAAATCCACACTGAATACCTCATCATTCAGCTTTAGCATTTTACCAAACTGATAACGCCGGTTGCATTTGCATCAAGACAGTTAATAACACTTATAATGTATTGCAAAGTGTTGCTTAAAATAATGACTTTAGCACAGATTTTGCTGATGCATGATACAATGAAAAGAAATGAGAGCAATAAGAGCATCTGGACCTGTCAATAGTTTATTTTTATTTCTGCACAAATAAACCTTCATGTTTTCCTGTCATGGACAGTGTGCCATCTGTATGTATATTCACTAAATTTATCAAATTCAGTCCAACTTCATGACATTTACCTTGAAAGCTGTTGAAGATATCAGTTCTCCATGTTTTGTTTGCAAGAGTGTCCAGAGAGAGTAACAGAGGGGGTTAGATCCTCACCTAGCACCAGAAGACCCTTTTGAATCAGAATGGGTACCAACTTGACTCCTTGTAACACTGTTGGAAAGTATAGTCACTGTCACCAC